TCCTGCTTTCCCTGGGCGCCTCCCTGGAGGCCCCCCCCCCTGGGAGACACTTCTCCCCTGGAGGTGCTTTCGTGGATGCTGGCTCCGCCCGCCTGCTGCGCACGGCCGAGGCCGGCGGTCGCTGTTCGCCAGGGGGGGGGGGGGAGGAGGAGGAGGAGAGGAGGAGGAGGAGGAGGAGGAGGAGGAGGAGGAGGAGGAGGAGGAGGAGGGGGAGGAGGGGGAGGAGGAGGAGGGGGAGGAGGAGGAGGAGGAGGAGGAGGAGGAGGATGAGGAGGAGGAGCAGGATGAGGAGGAGAAGGAGGAGGAGCAGCAGAAGCAGCAGCAGCAGCAACAGCAGCAGCAGCAACAGCAGCAGGAGGAGATGGAGGCTTCCTCCTCCTCCTCCTCTTCCTCCTCTTCCTCTTCCTCCTCCTCCTCATCCTCTTCCTTTCTTTTTCCTCCTCCTCCTGGAGGCTTCCCTGGAGACCCCCCTGGAGGCCCCCTGGAGGAGGCCTCCCTGGAGAAGGCCTCCCCGAAAAGCCCCTCTGCTGGCAGCTCTGGGCTCCCCTTACCCCCGTTCCATGGCCTCCTCCGCCTCCTCCTCCTCCTCCTCCTCCTCCTCCTCTCCTCTCCTCCTCCTCCTTCTGCGCCTCCTCTTATTCTGCTGTTTCTGTTTATTCTGCTTCTTCTGTTTCTTCTGCTTCTCCTCCTCCTCCTCTTCCTCCTCCTCCTCCTGCGCTCGTACCCATTATCCTCCTCCTCCTCCTCCTCCTCCTCCTCCTCCTCCTCCTGCTCCTCCCCCTCCCCGCCTTTCTACTCCTGTTGCTCCCCTGCTGCTTCTCCCCCTCCTGCTCCTCCTCCTTTTCTTCGTCTTCCTCGTCCTCCCCCTCCCCCTCCTCCGTGTCACGCTGCCCCCGTGGCCCCCTAACGAAGGCAGCCCGGGTTCATGCGCACACCGCGGCCCCTGGAGTTGCAGCTGGTCTCCCACGGGGTGCCCTTTTCGAATCAGAGGACGAAGTTGTTTCAATCACAGCGTCGTGATTTTGGACCACGTTCTACCCAGATGCGGCGCATGAATGTTCGCGATCAGCCGATGCGGTTGTCGGGTTGGGTGTGTCACCGTTGAGCACCACGAATGACTCCAGGAGCCCCAGGGAGGACCCGTTCGTGGGGCCGCCTTGGCCGTCCTTGAGGCTTCCAGGGCTGTGTTATGGGCCGCCCGGGGCCCCAAGACGGCTCATGCGGGACTCCGAAAGCCAACTTCTCGCCGGGGAGTTGGAATCGAGGCTCGCAGAGACCGTTTGTTGGGTCATCTTGGTGATATCTGGCGCCGTTCCGTCTTGGCAGACTTTCAGGTTTCCAGGCTGCCCCACGGCCCACCTGTGCCCCGAAGGCGATTCAAGGACAACTCCGAAATCCAACTTCTCGCTTCGTTCGGCCATCTTGAAGCCATTCTGGAGCTATCTTGGGCTGTTCGTAGAGTAGCCTTGCCCGTTTTTGAGCAACCCATGGCTGTCTTACGGGCCGTCTTCGGCCCCAAGGCGATTCATGGAGGGCTCCAAGATCCAACTCCTCGCCAGGGAGTTGGAATCAACGCGCTCAGCGACTATTGGTAAGTGTCACCTTGGAGCGAGTCTGGGCGTTGGTGGGGCCGCCTTGGCCGTCTTTGAGGCTTCCAGGGCTCTGTTATGGGCCGTCCGGGGCCCCAAGACGGCTCATGCGGGACTCCGAAAGCGAACTCCTCGCCGGGGAGTTGGATTCGAGGCTCTCAGAGACCGTTCCTTGTGCCATCTTGGTGGTATCTGGTGCCGTTCCTGGCATCTTGGGACTCGCTAGCAGGCCTCTTGGGCCGTTTTTGTGCTATCTCAAGGGCCGCCACAGCTTCTTGGAGCGACGAGGGGGTCTCGTGGAGCCCAGGTTTGCTCCAAATCGCCAAAACCCTGTAAAAACACAGGGAAAGTGAGGCCCCGGGCCCCCCATGCGCTGGCGAGGTCCCTGGGCGGGCCCCCCCGGACCGGGCCCCCGGGTACATATATATATATATATATATATATATATATATATATATATGTGTGTGTAATACATGCATCTAAATATAAGAAAGGAGAAAGAGAGACAGAGAAAGAGAAACAGAAAGAGAGAGAGAGAGAGGAGAGATAGCGAAAGAGAGAGAGAGAGAGAGAGAGAGTCAGCGTGATCCACCGCCGATTTACTATGGAAAATTCCCCCCTCTTCTTCCAAAGCCCGGGGGTCACCCCCCGTTCCGAAAATCCCCCCCCTGCTCGAGCACCCACCCCTCCCCCCGCCTCCCTTCCTGGCAACACCCCCCAAAACCCCCCCCCCTTCTGCGGTAAACTGGGCAAGGGTAAGAGGGGGGCATGTCCCATGTAGGGGGCTGCCTGGAACTCTGACGGTGCCTCTGGCGGTACCTTCTTGGCGCTCTGGCGAGGCGTCTTCAGGAGGTGAGGGACGGGCCAGAAACCAGAGAAATTGTAAAGTATAGCCACACCCCGCTCGCTCGGGCGGGTCCGCCCTGCAAGGGCGGGAGGAGCAAGGAACGCGTGAAAGAATATGGTGTAGGGGTACCCTGCTCTCTCTGGCGGTGGTTTCGCTGGCGCTCTGGCGGGGCTTGCCCAGGAGGGGCGGGAGGAGCACGAGACATGAGGAAAGTTATGGTATAGCCACACCCCGTGCGTTCTGACGGGTCTACGTCGGGTGCGGTGGGAAGAGCAAGAGAAAACAGGGACTGCATATGGTATAGCATCACCCCTCTCGCTGTGCCGGGGCCGCCCTTGAGGGGTGGGAGGGGCAAAGCAACTTGTAAAATGATAGGGTATAGCAATGCCCCGCTCGCTCTGGCGAGGCCCGTCTGGCGCCCCGGCGGGGCCGTCCCAGGAGAGGAGGGAGGAGCACGAAAGCTAAGGGGTGAGGGGAGGAAGCGGAGAGAGAGGAGGGAATGGATGCAAGGGGTGGGGGCGGGAGGGAAGGAGGGACGGAGGGGGGGAGGCCCAGGCCATCTGGGCCGTCTTCCAGCGCTCTGGGGCCTCCCGCTCCCGCTCTGTGGCCCATCTTGGGCCTTTCCTGGGGCCTGATGGGCCGTCTGGGGCTCCTCCTGGGCAATTTTCGGGCTCTCTGGGGCCGTCTTGGGGCTCTTTTGGGGGCCTCTTCGGCGGTCTTTGGGCGATCTTCAGGGCGTCTTCGGCCGTCTTGGAGCGTTGGAAACTCGAGAACGCGAGAAAGCGGAAAACATTTTTGTTTTCACTAACAAAAAAATGACAATCAAGGATTTGGGCCTCTTCGGACTCTCTCGGGACGTCTCTCGGAGCTCTCCTGGGGCCTCTTGGCTTGCCGTCTTGAGCTCATCTTGGGCCACGTTGGGATCATCTGGGCCGTCCTGGAGCGCCTTGGGGCCTCCCGCTCCCGCTCTGGGGCCCATCTCGGGCCTCTCCTGGGATTCTCTTGGGCAGTCTCGGGCTGCTCTGGGGCAGTCTTCAGGCTCTCCAGGGCCGTCTTGGAGCTCTTTTCGGGGCTCTTTTTGGGGCCTCTTCGGCGGTCTTTGGGCGATCTTCAGGGCGTCTTCGGCCGTCGTGGAGAGTTGGAAGCTCCAGAACGCGAGAAAGCGGAGAACATTGAAAAACTACGGAAAATCAAGGATTTGGGCCCCTTCGGACTCTCTCGGGACGCCTCTCGGAGCTCTCTTGGGGCCTCTTGGAGGCCTCTTGGGCTGTGTATTTGCCGTGTTGGGCCCATCTGGGGCCACGTTTGGGCCATCTGGGCCGTCTTCGAGCGCTCTGGGGCCTCCCGCTCCCGCTCTGTGGCTCATCTTGGGCCTGTTCTGGAGATCTCTTGGGCCGTCGTCTGGGGCTCCGTTTGGGCAATTTTCGAGCTCCCTGGGCCTTTGGGGGCCTCTTCGGCGGTCATGGGGCGGTCTTGGGGGCGTCGTCGGCCGTCTTGGAGCGTTAGAAGCTCGAAAACGCGAGAAACCCAAACACATCGAGCACAAAAAATGAAAATGAAGGATTTGGGCCTCGTCTGGCTCTCTCGGGACGCCTCTCGGAGCTCTCTTGAGGCCTCTTGGAGGCCTCTTGGGATGTGTATTTACCGTCTCGAGTCCATCTTGGGCCACGTTGGGGCTATCTGGGCTGTCTTGGAGGGGCTTGGCGAAGGCCCCCAGGGGCTTCCGGGAGCGTCGTGGGGCTCTCTGAGGCAGTCTGGGAGCTGCAGGGCCGCTGCCGGGTGCTCTGGGAGCGGTCTGGGAAACCCCGGTCCTCCCATTGCCCCACTGTGCCCCGGGCCCAGGGCGCCCGGGCCTCGTGCACTCTCAGATAGCTCTCTCTCTCTCTCTCTCTCTATTCTCTCTCTCTCTCTCTCTCTCTCTCTCCCTCTATGTGTATATATATATGCATATATGCAGATGGTTTTGTACATAGGTACATAAAATTATGTGTATGTAATAATTAAAATAGGAATACGAATAAGAATAAGACGAAGAAAGCAAAACAAAAATGCTAGAATCACGCGGGCTACGAACGCGCTTAGATTCAAGCCGACTCCGAAGACGGTACTTTTAAGTCGAAGGAGGCTCCACCAAGGGGCCGATGAGCAGAGACAGAGGGCCCTAGACTGGCCCCATGCAGCCCCAAGATGAGCTTACAGGCCCTCGCTTGGGGAGTCCGTGGGCTGTGGACGAGCGCGGAGCCGTCTGAACGGACCACGGGGCGCGTCGGAGGGTGCCTAAGACCATCGCGGAAGATCCTGGACGCACGTTTAGCGTGGTCCGTCCTTGCAGTCTCGTGAAGCCGTTTTGGAACCGCCTTCGGCAGATCTCGGGCCGCCTTGGTGCTCTCTTGTGCAGGACGGGGTTCTCGCTGGGCCTTTCCTCATGCTGCATGTCCGAAGCCTTGACATTGTGCAAGAGCCAACTGCACATTGGTACCCTACCTTGCACAACACATCGGCTCGGATTCCGCTCTTCTGAACTCTCTGGCAAATATACGGCTTCCTCTGGAGATCTGTTTCTTCCTTCTTCTCACGCCGTTGCCCTGGGATTCATTTCTTCTCTCGCGTCGCTAGTCGTCGCTTCCGTCCTTCCCCCTCCTTCCCCTCGGGATCGCCTGCACACTCTATTTCAGACCTATCGGCGCCCCAACAGCAGGAGGCGCGCTGCCTAGAGGTGGCCACGGTTGCGAAGGGTTCCAGTAGGGGGCCACATGCGGACCCTGCACCTACCCCCCCACGATTTCCGAAGGGGGAGGGGGGGGGGGTCCCTTCGCTCGGGAGCTCCCGAGCGAGGTGAACCCCACCCTCCCCCTCAGAAATGGGCGGGGGGGTAGGGGGCAGGGTCCACATGTGGCCCCCTATCCAGACTCAACCGCGCCACCCCTCGAGAAAAAAACCGACGGCCCTCACCGTGGAGGCCGCCTCTGGCGAACCGCCCGCCGCGCGGTTGAAACAGTGCCGCGCGCCGCGCCCCAACCGGCGGGCGGCCGAGGCCGCCGGGCGCCCTTGAAGAAAGCGTCTTCGACGAGGCGGGGCGGAAGGCACTCCGGGGGAGGGCGCGTGGGCTGGCGCTGGAGGTGTCTTCGTGGTTGCTCTGACGAACCAACAACACACACCCATACCCATAGGGGGATCGGAAAGGGCTATGGGTGCGTGTTGTCGGATGGGGGTCCCCGCTCGAACGGGAGCGTCCCCCAGGGTCCGACAACCCGCACCCATACCCAGAGCCAGTCCTCCTCCCAACGACCTCCCTATGGGTATGGGTGTGTGCTGTTTGTTCGTTCGTCATGCTCGGGGCGACCCTGGGGCTTTGTGGGCCCTGGAAGCGGCAGGGCCGTTCTTCACCGCTTCCACAGAAACATATCCCTCGAACACAGAAGCGGCAAAAAAAACGGCGACCGGAAACGGCCAAAACACGGCCCCAGGACTGGAACCGGAGCCGGCACCGGTCAAAAAACGGCGACGGAACCGGTAACAAAACGGCGTCGGAACCGGCAAAAAAAAGGCAAAACGGAACCGGTAAAAAACGGCCCTGTCGTTTCCAGGGCCCACTAAGCCCTGGGGTGTCCTTGCCAGTCTGGGGGTGCGGTTTGGGGCTGCTGGGGCCACACTTCCAGATTCTCGCTTGCAAGACTCCTGAGGCGTGTGGGGTCTCTTGGGGCCTCTTTTGGGGGTCATGCGTGCTTCCTGATGCTCTTCTTGGAGGGCTGTTGGGGGGCTCCTCAGCAAGCGGGCCCCGCAAGAACGGAGGCCGCCCACGCTGGAGTGCCAGCGGGAATAGAATTGGTCTCCGTGACAACAGGCGCGCGAGTGTTCTGCACCGCTCATCATGGACGAAAAGGGCGCAACGAGGAGGGGAAGCCAGGCGAAAATAGGCGCTGGCGCGGTGGACGTGTACCACTCGGCGCACAACACAACACCATTCAAGACGCTTCCTCCCCAACCTTGCACCTCCTCCTTGGGGCCGTTCTGAGGCCACGTGAGCCCAAAAATGTTGGATCTCTCCATGCCGCGAACACCAATCTCCACGAGTCGTAGAAAACTGGAAGGCCCAATTGGCAAGGACTGCACCTCCTCTCTCCATGGAGCTATAACCCCGATAGGGTCTTACAAAGACAGCGGGCCACATGGACAGCAGCAGCACCAGCAGGGAGAGGGAAGCAGGCGACAGGGAGGAAAGAGGAAGAGTCAAGAGCAGCAGGGAGAGAGGCAGGAAAGCGAGCGAGAGAGGAAGCAGCAGAGCAGAAAGGGAGGAGAGCACGGCAAGCGGCGCGCAGCAGGAGGGGGGCCGGAGACCAGGGAACGACGGGAAATTGTATAATCAGGCGCGGTTCACCTGCCCCGCAAGAGAGCACAACGGCATCCTGAGGCGGCCCCAGCCAAAAAGGTGTGGGCAGATCCCACAAATCCGTACGGAGCTCGGGGAGACAATACTTCATGCAACTTGAAAGCTCTGCTTTCAGTGCACTACAGAGGAGAACATGACGGCTGCCTGTGACACACTATGGAAAAATCCATGCAGGCCCGTTGGAGAGCATGTGCGAGCCCGCAGGCATTCGATGCGGCCTGGAAATTGAACGGAAGAAGAAAAAACGCAATACACATAAACTGTTGGCGCTCCGCGCGGATCTCTTGGATCTGCGCTTGGCCCCCTCCCTGGCGCGCGGAGCGCGCCAGGGGCGGCGCCAGAGGCGCCGCCAAGGGGGGGCAAAACGCCAATCCAGGAAGTCTGCGCAAAGAGCCAAATGGTTATGTTTACTTCAAGCCAACGTATGACCGTGCCAACACGCGCTGCTCGAGAGCCACCTCCGCCCGCGGAGGCCGCAGGCCCCCCCTTCCCTGACGCGGCAAATCCCTGTGTGGAGTGAGCCGGTGCGGTAAGGATGCGCGGTGCAAGCCCCCCCGTTCCCAGACGCGGCCAATCCCTCTGTAGAGTCAGCCGGCGCGGAAAGGATGCGCGGCGCAAGCTCCCCCTGCCCTGACGCGGCAAATCCCTATGTAGAGTCAGCCAGTGTGGTCAGGATGCGCGGTGCAAGCCGCCCCGTTCCCTGACGCGGCACATCCCTGTGTGGAGTCAGTCGGTGCGGTAAGGATGCGCGGTGCAAGCCCCCCCGTTCCCTGACGCGGCCAATCCCTATGTAGAGTCAGCTGGCGCGGTAAGGATGCGCGGCGCAAGCTCCCCCTGCCCTGACGCGGCAAATCCCTACGTAGAGTCAGCCAATGTGGTAAGGATGCGCGATGCAAGCCCCCCCGTTCCCTGACGCGGCAAATCCCTGTGTGGAGTGAGCCGGTGCGGTAAGGATGCGCGGTGCAAGCCCCCCCGTTCCCTGACGCGGCCAATCCCTATGTAGAGTCAGCCGGCGCGGAAAGGATGCGCGGCGCAAGCTCCCCCTGCCCTGACGCGGCAAATCCCTATGTAGAGTCAGCCAGTGTGGTAAGGATGCGCGGTGCAAGCCCCCCGTTCCCTGACGCGGCAAATCCCTGTGTGGAGTGAGCCGGTGCGGTAAGGATGCGCGGTGCAAGCCCCCCCGTTCCCTGACGCGGCCAATCCCTCTGTAGAGTCAGCCGGCGCGGTAAGGATGCGCGGCGCAATTTCCCCCTTCCCTGACGCGGCAAATCCCTATGCAGAGTCAGCCAGTGTGGTCAGGATGCGCAGTGCAAGCCCCCCCGTTCCCTGACGCGGCAAATCCCTGTGTAGAGTCAGCCAGCGCGGTAAGGATGCTCGGCGCAAGCCCCCCCGTTCCCTGACGCGGCAAATCCCTGCGTAGAGTCAGCCGGTGCGGTAAGGATGCGCGGTGCAAGCCCCCCCGTTCCCTGACGCGGGCAAATCCCTGTGTGGAGTGAGCCAGTGCGGTAAGGATGCGCGGTGCAAGCCCCCGCGTTCCCTGACGCGGCCAATCCCTGCGTAGAGTCAGCCGGCGCGGTAAGGATGCGCGGCGCAAGCTCCCCCTTCCCTGACGCGGCAAATCCCTGTGCAGAGTCAGCCAGTGTGGTAAGGATGCGCCGTGCAAGCCCCCCCGTTCCCTGAACGCGGCAAATCCCTATGTAGAGTCAGCCGGCGCGGTAAGGATGCGCGGCGAAAGCTCCCCCTGCCCTGACGCGGCAAATCCCTGCTTAGAGTCAGCCGGCGCGGTAAGGATGCGCGGTGCAAGCCCCCCCGTTCCCTGACGCGGCAAATCCCTGTGTGGAGTGAGCCGGTGCGGTAAGGATGCGCGGTGCAAGCCCCCCCGTTCCCTGACGCGGCCGATCCCTATGTAGAGTCAGCCGGCGCGGTAAGGATGCGCGGCGAAAGCTCCCCCTTCCCTGGCGCGGCAAATCCCTATGCAGAGTCAGCAAGTCAGTAAGGATGCGCGGTGCAAGCCCCCCCGTTCCCTGACGCGGCAAATCCCTACGTAGAGTCAGCCAATGTGGTAAGGATGCGCGATGCAAGCCCCCCCGTTCCCTGACGCGGCAAATCCCTGCGTAGGGTCAGCCGGTGCGGTAAGGATGCGCGGTGCAAGCCCCCCGTTCCCTGACGCGGCAAATCCCTGTGTAGAGTCAGCCGGCGCGGTAAGGATGCGCGGCGCAAGCTCCCCCTACCCTGACGCGGCAAATCTCTGCGTAGAGTCAGCCGGTGCGGTAAGGATGCGCGGTGCAAGCCCCCCCGTTCCCTGACGCGGCAAATCCCTGTGTGGAGTGAGCCGGTGCGGGAAGGATGCGCGGTGCAAGCCCCCCCGTTCCCTGACGCGGCCAATCCCTATGTAGAGTCAGCCAGCGCGGTAAGCAATGCGCGGCGCAAGCCCCCCCGTCCCCTGACGCGGCAAATCCCTATGTAGAGTCAGCCGGCGCGGTAAGGATGCGCGGTGCAAGCCCCCCCGTTCCCTGACGCGGCCAATCCCTGTGTAGAGTCAGCCGGCGCGGTAAGGATGCGCGGCGCAAGTTCCCCCTGCCCTGACGCGGCAAATCCCTGCGTAGAATTAGCCGGCGCGGCAAGGATGCGCGGTGCAAGCCCCCCGATCCCTGACACGGCAAATCCCCGTGTGGAGTGAGCCAGTGCGGTAAGGATGCGCGGTGCAAGCCCCCCCCGTTCCCTGACGCGGCCAATCCCTATGTAGAGTCAGCCGGCGCGGTAAGGATGCGCGGCGCAAGCTCTCCCTTTTCTGACGCGGCAAATCAATATGCAGAGTCAGCCAGTGTGGTAAGGATGCGCAGTGCAAGCCCCCCCGTTCCCTGACGCGGCAAATCCCTGTGTAGAGTCAGTCAGCGCGGTAAGGATGCGCGGCGCAAGCTCCCCCTGCCCTGACGCGGCAAATCCCTATGCAGAGTCAGCCAAGGTGGTAAGGATGCGCGGTGCAAGCCCCCCCGTTCCCTGACGCGGCACATCCCTGTGGAGTACGCCGGTGCGGTAAGGATGCGCGGTGCAAGCCCCCCCCTTCCCTGACGCGACAAATCCCTATGTAGAGTCAGCCGGCGCGGTAAGGATGCGCGGCGCAAGCTCCCCCTTCCCTGACGCGGCAAATCCCCGCGTAGAGTCAGCCAGTGTGGTAGCGGTGTGCGCGGCGGTCCCCCTCCCTGGCGGCAAATCCCCGCGGTAAGGATGCGCGGCGCAAGCTCCCCCTTTCCCTGACGCGGCAAATCCCCGCGTAGAGTCAGCCGGCGGGGTAAGAATGCGCGGCGCAAGCCCCCCCTTCCCTGACGCGGCAAATCCCTGTGTAGAATCAGCCGGCGCGGTAAAAATGCGCGGTGCAAGCCCCCCGTTCCCTGACGCGGCAAATCCCTGTGTAGAGTCAGCTGGTGCGGTAAGGATGCGCGGTGCAAGCCCCCCGTTCCCTGCCGCGGCAAATCCCTATGTAGAGTCAGCCAGAGCGGTAAGGATGCGCGGTGCAAGCCCCCCATTTCCCTGACGCGGCAAATCCCTGCGTAGAGTCAGCCAGTGCGGTAAAGAACAGCGGCCCTATGTAGAGTCAGCCGGTGCGGTAAGGATGCGCGGCGCAAGCCCCCCCTTCCCTGACGCGGCAAATCCCTGTGTAGAGTCAGCCGGTGCGCTAAGGATGCGCAGCGCAAGCCCCCCAATCCCCTGACGCGGCAAATCCCTGTGTAGAGTCAGCCGGTGCGGTAAGGATACGCGGCGCAAGCCCCCCCGTTCCCTGACGCGGCAAATCCCTGTGTAGAGTCAGCCCGTGCGTTAAGGATGCGCGGCGCAAGCCCCCCGATTCCCTGACGCGAAAAATCCCTGCGTAGGGTCAGCCGGTGCGGTAAGGATGCGCGGTGCAAGCTCCACGTTCCCTGACGCGGTAAATCCCTATGTAGAGTCATCCGGTGCGGTAGGGATGCGAGGTGCAAGCGCCCCCGTTCCCTGACGCGGCAAATCCTCATGTAGAGTCAGCCGGCGTGGTAAGGATGCGCGGCGCAAGCCCCCCGTTCCCTGACGCGGCAAATCCCTATGTAGAGTCAGCCAGTGCGGTGAGGATGCGCGGCGCAAGCCCCCCCGTTCCCTGACGCGGCAAATCCCTATGTAGAGTCAGCCAGAGCGTTAAGGCTACGCGGCGCAAGCCCCCCCTTCCCTGACGCGGCAAATCCCTATGTAGAGTCAGCCGGCGCGGTAAGGATGCGCCGTGCAAGCCCCCCCCCCTTCCCTGACGCGGCAAATCCCCATGTAGAGTCAGCTGGCGCAGTAAGGATGCGCAGTGCAAGCTCCCCTTTCCCTGACGCGGCAAATCCGTGTGTGGAGTCAGCCCGTGCGGTAAGGATGCGCGGTGCAAGCCCCCCCTTCCCTGACGCGACAAATCCCTATGTGGAGTCACCTGGTGTGGTGAAGATGCGCGGCGCAAGCCCCTCGTTCCCTGACGCGGCAAATCCCTGTGTAGAGTCAGCCAGTGCGGTAAGGATGCGCAGTGCAAGCCCCCCGTTCCCTGACGCGGCAAATCCCTGTGTAGAGTCAGCCGGTGCGGCAAGGATGCGCGGTGCAAGCCCCCCGTTCTCTGACGCGGCAAATCCCTATGTAGAGTCAGCCGGCGCGTCACCGCGCCACCCCTTCCCTGACGCGGCAAATCCCTGTGTAGAGTCAGCCAGTGCGGTAAGAATGCGCGGCGCAAGCCCCCCGTTCCCTGACGCGGCAAATCCCTATGCTGAGTCAGCCCGTGTGGTAAGGATGCGCGGTGCAAGCCCCCCCTTCCCTGACGCGGCAAATCCCTATGTAGAGTCAGCCAGAGCGGTAAGGATGCGCGGTGCAAGCCCCCCGTTCCCTGACGCGGCAAATCCCAATGTAGAGTCAGCCGGTGCGGTAAGGATGCGCGTTGCAAGCCCCCCGTTTCCCTGACGCGGCAAATCGCAATGTAGAGTTAGACGGTGCGGTAAGGATGCGCGGCGCAAGCCCCCCGTTCCCTGACGCGGCAAATCCCTATGTAGAGTCAGCCGGTGTGGTAAGGATGCGAGGTGCAAGCCCCCCGTTGCCTGACGCGGCAAATCGCAATGTAGAGTCAGACGGTGCGGTAAGGATGTGCGGCGCAAGCCCTCCCTTCCCTGACGCGGCAAATCCCTATGTAGAGTCAGCCGGTGCGGTAAGGATGCGAGGTGCAAGCCCACCACTCCCCTGACGCGGCATATCACTATGTAGAGTCAGCCCGCGTGATAAGGATGCGCGGTGCAAGCCCCGTTCCCTAACGCGGCAAATCCCTATGTAGAGTCAGCCAGTGTGGTAAGGATGTGCAGTGCAAGCCCCCCCTCCCCTGACGCGGCAAATCCCCATGTAGAGTCAGCTAGCGCGGTAAGGATGCGCGGTGAAAGCCCCCCCTTTCCCTAACGCGACAATCCTTATGTAGAGTCAGCCGGTGCGGTAAGGATGCGCGGTGCAAGCCCCCC